TGAGAGGGAGAGGGAGAGGGAGAGAGAGGGAGAGGAGAGAGAGAGAGAGAGGGAGGGAGAGAGAGAGAGAGGGAGAGCGGGAGTGAGTGAGTTAACGACTACGACAAAATATGTTAGATGCCAAAGGTCGTAGAGCGCTGTATAGAAGCGCAATGGATATAGAGAGGAGAACAAAAGGCATACGAAGCCCGTTCAGGACTGACAGAGCCAGCCTTTCATCCTTTCAGCAAAGCTCTCACACCTTGGGAAGTGAAGAGATCAAGAGAAGAAGGAAAAGGAAAGGAGGTAGAAAAAAGAACAGGCAAAACTACTTAAGGCGTGGGCTGAGGTGATATCCGATATTAGGCCTCCATGACATCTAGCCTAGCAAAGGATTGGGTAGAGGGTACTTTTACCCTATAATCCGCTTACTTCACAGGCATATGTTGAAACTCTCTAAAAGTACATTATATTTCTAATGTTGCAATTCATTTTTAAGCATAGCTTCTTTAATATTCTATTTTTTTTTCCAGATCAGTACTTCCATCCACTCTCCGTCCCTTCTAATCCAGGTCTTATTCCAATTTTCTACATCACCATCAGTGTACAAGGAGGAAGGACAATAATACTCAATTCTTAGCATAAAATTCTTGTGAAAATAGATTCTTCCAGGAAGGAAGGTCACTTTTTTTTGCATCATCAGTGTACATAAAATAAGGACAATAATACTCAATTCTTAGCATAAAATTCTTGTGAAAATAGATTACAAAATCCCGCCCACACGTAGACGAACGCAGATAGCGGTGCTCACAACAAAGGGATGGTAAATTTGGAGACTTTCTCTTTACAAAAATCTCGTTCTTTAATCTAACCTCAGTTCACCAAGACCTCTAAAAATAAATAAAAAAAGACAAATAAAAACAAAACACTTTGAAATGGCAGCACAAAAATGGACAATGGGTTTGCTGTTGGTGAATACAATTTTATTCACTGTAACATATTATTGCTGTTGCCGATAGAGAAATTAATATTTTAATTTAAGATAAATGTTTAAATACCAAATAAAAAATCTAGTCCTTCTTTGTCTTCGCTTTCGTTACCTGGTACAAACCTGAACTGCTGATAATCAGATTCGACATTCTTTGAAATCTGAGGATGCTTTTGCTGTTCCCTTTTGTCTGTTCAGCAATGACCCACTCTTTTTTGTCTGTTGGTCTACAAACACACACACGCACACGCATTTCACAGGAAAATGTATCCACTCTTATCTTCGTTATGTCAATTAGCATCTCCCGTATATTCAAACATTTTATCATTCATTCATTTATTCTCTCTCTCTCTCTTTCTCTCCTTCCTTCGCAGGCAATCATTTTTTCTGTCTGTCTGTCTGTCTGTGACTATTTGTCCGTCTTCGTGTCTTTGCCCGTCTCTCGTCCACATCACAGAGACATGCGGCACGCGCTATGCGTTCATCCGACCTCCCAACATACGGCAACATGACCAGCAACATAATTACATTAGATACATGATAGGTGTATACATATACAAAGAATCACACTTCTTGCTTGGACTATTACACATCATACATGAGCATACAAAAGTCACGTAAAATGCTTGGTAAAGGCAAAAAAAGAAAGTTTTCTTTCTTTTCTATTTTTTTTTTCGCTTCTTTTTAACTTTGATACAGTTGATAAAAAGTTGTATGCCGATCCAAGTCTTTGGTCTGTTAAAACCTGAACGTGGCAGTTAGAGTGACTGATGCCCTCCTATACTAAAAAGCTATATAAATAATGCCAGGAAGTATATTCTGTCGTGAATAAATTACTTAATTACAATAATGTAAGTGCTACACTCCAACGAACTATCGTTTTTTTCCAGTACAAATGGCCGTACACATTTTTTCTTTCTCTCTCTAATCACAGCCCGAATCACAAAAATATATATATTGTTTTAACTGCCGATACAAATGATATGTTCACTAAGAACTGACTAAAGGCTCTGGTTGCGCGGCCGCTCTCTTGGCCAAGGGGAGCTGGTCCGCCGAGCTCCCTTCTTGGGCCGGCACGAGGTCCTCTCCCTTTGCCACCACTTCCATTTTCGCATTCTCTTCCTCATTGTCGGTGGCCTCCTTGGACCCTTCTCCTACCTCCATATGGACGTGGCCGTTGGTCAGCCTGGTTTCCTGGTCGTCCTCGAGGGGCTCCTGCTGCACCTGGCTCTTTCCTTCTGTGGGGTCTTCGTGTGGGTCTACATCCATACTCTCCGTCTTGTCCTCGCTCGCACCCTCGTTCTCCGGTAGCGGCTCGTCTGGGAGAGACTTGGAGATGATGTCGGCGCTACACAGAGTACTCTCGCCCTGTACACTGGAGGCTGCCGAGTCCAGTCCGTCCGTAGCGAAAGGGTCGCTGGACTCCATCATCCCTGGTCCGCTGCGGATCTTGGCGCCGGGCCGGAGGGAAATCACGAAGTCGTTGGGCGCTTCCACGATGTCGCCCGAACGGAAGTTGACCTGGATTCCACTGGCGATGTGAGAGTCGGGCTCCTCTTCCTCCCCTGGGTTACTGATAATGGGTGGCTTGTACACGCCAGTGTCATGGGAGAAAATAAGGTACCTGTCCTCAACATTGCTTGCGTTCTTACTGTCCTGCAACTTGGGACCGTCGATTGCTTTGGATCCTGGCGGTACAATGGGGGCACTTAGGATCTCCTGACGGTCATGGCGCATGAATCCCTCAGGATGAACATACTTGAAGGGACGGAAATGGACCTTGGTATGCTCACGGATGAAGTTGGGCTGCGAGGCTGTGTAGTCACAGAAAGTGCACTTGTAGACACCATACCCACCATTGGCTTGGTGACGCAAACTGTGGCTATCCACTGCGTCGCGTCTGACATTAGCGTAAGGACAATACTGGCAGTAATAGACTCTCCTCTCCTTCTCATCTTCTTTGTTGGTTGGCTCCTTCACCCCCTTCTTGTTCTGTAAAAGGAGGTGCTGGCGCTCTGAAGTGGTTAGGTCAACATCATCCAGATTCTCTTTGTTGGACTCTTCCCCCCTGCTCTTGCTCGGTTTTTCTCCCTGGATGTTGTTTTCATTAGAGCTGATGATGGGCTCATACTTGGGGTCAATGTCCTCGGGTGGAGGGCCCTCACCATTCTGGGAGAGCATCCGCTCGTGGTATTTGTGGCGGTTAATGTGCATCATGAAATTGGCGTAGAATTTCACTGAGTAATCACATATGCGGCACCTGTACTTGTGATTCGAACCATGGAGATTGGAGTGAACATGGTACTGCTCTGTCTTCTCAAATGCTGAAGGGCACTTGTTACACTTGTACCTCTTTTCCCGTGATTTCCCTGTGACCTTGTCTATGTGCATTGGGTAGTACAATTTCGGGTCACCTACCCTCTTGGGGTCATCCTCTTCCACATCCTCTTTCTCTTTCGATGACTTGCTCTTCCCGCTGTACCCCTTGCTACTTCCTGATTCATTATTGGTGATTTTATCCTGCCCTTCCTTCTCCAGCTGTGTTTTCCGTCTCAGCAAGTCCACGCCAGACAGAGGAATCTGTTCTTCAACGTAATACTTGAACTGAGGCCGCCCACCACTTTCTGAAGCAATTGGTCTCAGGCCAATGAGCTTCAGTTTGATTGGTGGATGATATGAGTAGTCCCTCTCAGTGCTCTTCTTGGAAGGCTCTTCTGGGGGTGCTGGCTTTTCTCTCTCTGGGGCTTTGGGAGCTGGGGTTTCACTCGGAGTTGAGACAGGGACAGGTGCAGGTTTAGGAGAAGGAGCAGGATCAGGAGGAGGAGGAGGAGGAGGAGGTGGGGTAGGAGGAGGTGGTGGTTCTTTGGATGCTTTTTCTGCTTGTATGGTCTCATCATACTGACTGTGTAAGAGGTGGTGTTGTTGGAGATTTTCTTCTGTCTTGCCTGCATATGAACATCGCTGGCACTTGTGGGGGTTGTTGGCTCCATGGAGAGACTGATGGTACTGTAAGGTCAACAGCTTGGAGAATGATGCTGGACACTCATCACACATGTACTTGCTTGTAGGGGGAGGCTGTGGAACGGAGGTAGGAGGTGGGGATGCTGTGAATGGCCGAGAGTTGTTGGCCGACTCATGGCTGTCACCAGAAGTCTCCACAGATGTTTCGTGGGGGATCGTTAGCCCAGGAACCGGAGGATGAGTGGTAGCAGTTCGGTGCTGACCCATCATGGTGCGAGTACGTTGCTGGTACTCAGGTGTGTGCACCTTGAGATGTGCGAGGAGGTGAGCCTGCTGTCGTGCACCGTAGTTACAGTGATCACACTTATGAGGCAGGCTCGTTGTGTGGAACCGGGTGTGAATCTGAATCTCCTTCTCAAAGAAGAATCTAGCAGGGCACTGTTGGCAGTAGTAAATCACCTTCTCATCTGCTTTTCTTGCGGGCGCTGCACTAATCCCTGGTATCTCTGGGGTTTGCGGAGTCTCTGGGCGACTTGTACTTGCTCTTGTTGTGAGCTGTCTCAACTGGTCTTCATCTGAGAGGGATGGGTCAACAATGGCATGGCACTGTCCCATGGAGCCAGCATGTACCTTCATATGTGCTGACATAACACCGGCATTAACACTAACGTAAGAGCAATATGGACAATGTAAGCCACCGCTTTCTCTTGCTGAGTCAGTTTTGTGCATTTTCTCATGCTCTTGTATATTTGTTTTACGTAAATTGACATGTGGGCAATGCCTGCATTTGAACATTTTAAAGAAACGATTATCTCTAGACACCCAAACAAGTGGTATGTCATCTAAAACCATGGTACTCTGGTCTGTCAACTTGGGAAGCAAGGAGGAGTCTGTGACTGTGTTATCATCGCCTGTATTGCCACTTGCTGCCACATTGTTGACGGGTGTGATGGTAAGAGATGGAGAAGGAGAATTGGACCTGTCGTCTGCCTGATTATTGTCATTAACGCTGCTCACCTCGATGCTGTCATCCAACACCGGATCCATTCCATGCACACGGATGTGCTGGGATAAGAGGTGGCGACGTGTTACATTGTAGGTGCAGTGAGGACAACGGAAAGGTAGACCTTTGGGCTTATGGAACTGGCGGTGATGCATCAGTTTCGCACGACTCCTGGTCTCAAAGGGACAGCTGTCACAGGCAAGGTTCCGAGATCCACTTCCAGGTTCCTCTTGCTGCAGAAAGAAAAAGGAAAAATTAGCTTGAGTCAAAGAATAGGAAAAGCTGGATTGAGATAAAGTATAAATGATGGGAAATCATATTCCTTCTCTGATCCAAACTCATGAGTAATAACAGTTTTATTGTGATCTCTGGGCGGATATTAAGATGTAAATTAATTAATCTAAATCACACCAATTCTTTAATTCTTATAATGAATTTTTATTCCTGCTTAAAAATACCCATAACAGATACAAAATTTACTGTAACTTGTTAAATGAAACTTACAGGCACTGGTGCAGGAGTGCTGGATACTTTGCTGGCAGCTTCGAGCACAGAGGCTGGCACTTCCATTCCGTGAACATTCAAGTGCTCAAAGAGCTCACTGTAAAGATGGATTTCTTTTAGAATGCGTTTGTATTACATGCGATAAACTTTAGGTACTATTATGGTTTTTAGACCATGGTTTCAGTATCTTTTTAACAACAATTAATCCCCCCAAAATTAAACACTATGATAATTTTTTCATGTTCAAGCCTTTCCTCTTTTCTATTTCTTATTTTTTTGGGGTAGGAAAAAAATACGGGAAGGGGAGGAACAACAAATTTAAAAGGGGAAGAAGACGAAGAAGAAAATTTGACGGGAAGCCTTTCCTTTCCTCCAACTCACCCTTTAGTGGGAACATAGAAAGGGCAGAACATGCACTTGAAGATGCAGTCTGGCCGTGAGGAATGGTAAACCACATGCGACCTCATCTCGCTGCGTTTCTTGCTGGAGAAAGGACACTGACGGCACTGGAACATTCGCGTGCTCTCATTGTACTCCATGTTTTCCGAATCCCCTGGAGAACAAGAACAGCTGATAAACAAGGCAATTCAAAGCATACGGATTTAATTATATCATAACATTTCTCACTTTTCAAAATTTCCTAGCTAACTGTAAAGTACCGGGCTAATTGTAAAGGAATTATTCACCATGTAATATTGGGGAAATTATTTGCATCATACTAAATTAAGTATTTCTCTCTCAAATTATTCATTTCCTGATTAAAAAGATTATAATACTTGGCATTGGGATTATACATAAATCTCAACCAATAAATAGAACATTTTCATATGTATGAAAAAAAAAAAAGGAAAAATGAGAAAGGCCCACTTTATCTGTCTTGCATCTAGTATGTAACATTATCTCACAAAGTAGCACAGCAAAAAGACCATCTCTCTCATCTCATCTTTTGTCTGCACAAAGCAGACAAAATACCTATAATGAAATCTCTTGCCATCAATAGACAGAACAAAATGGACTTTTAAAACAAAAACTAATCATCCCATTTGTAACCCCGTAATCGGCAACCATCATCTTGATCTCAACTCAAATCTGTATTTTCCGCCCAAAATTGCATTGTACCTGAGTTATCCTTTGAGTCTGGGGTCTGTCCCTCGCAGCGGCTGGTGATGCCACCTTGGCCTCCGTGACTGCTGTCAATGTGCAGCTGAAAGAGATGAGAAAAAGAGTTAGTAATTCCACTATACAGTGGAGCTGCTCATGCTGCAGACAACAAATGTTTTTGATGACAACTGACAGTTATTATTGTCAATGATGAGGACAATTGTAATTAGAAAAGCTGGGCCAAACTAGGAAAGGTAATAAAATGAAACACTGATATACAATAAAATAATAATCAAAATATTACACTGAGATTGCTATGGGAAGAAAGTCATACAGATAATGAAAAGGCTAATAGTCTAGATTTTTTATTATCATCATCATCATTATCATATCATAATCATATCATTGGTATCATTAGCATCATCTTTTATAATTAATTTACTTTCTGTCATTGTCATTTTTTTTGCCAATATTGCTTTCAATTCTAAGAAAATCTTAATACTACTTCTGGTGTTACTCCCTCAAATTCAGGTCACTTAATTTAATCTACTAATTGTCATCATCACAATAATAATAGCAATATGTGAAATAATAATAATAACATAAGAAAATTACTTCTAATAAAAAAATAATCTCATAAAAATAAAAATAAAGAGGCAGATTCATCAGTCACTTTCACCTTTTCTATATTTCCTAAAGTCTACCTCGATTCCCATTAACTGTCATAAGGCACGCAAACTACTTGAACACCTTGCAAGAAAAGAGGAGTAGTATAGAATTCAATTTTTTTTTCTATGTGGTAGACAAATTATTTTCTACTCGTTCAGCTTCAATCCTCCAAAAGAGAAAGATCGACTGTGTTAAGGTAACGACTGTGCAAGGTAACTGGACTACATAATATGTTGCCAAAATGAGAATAATTACATTTCTTTCATAAACGGCACAAAATTTTAAGAATGACAATGATGACGATGACAATAATAACAGCAGCAGCAACAAAACAACACCAAAGAAAAAAAAGGGAAGAGAAGAAGAAGAAAAAGAAAAAGCCATAACTTTAAATAATGTTTCTCTGTGGTTTGAAAAAGCTTACTATGTACCTGATTCTGGAACTTTGAATCACATATTTCGTACTTAAAGCACAAAAATGTCACAAGTAAGGTTCAGAATTTTCATGCTATATCACTTACATCTTCTGAAACAGATAACAATAACTAAACACACAATTTCCTGAGAATCTATATGCTCATGAGGAGTATTATTTCAATCAATAATAAAGCAGTATATAATCTTTAGTCCCTCTGTGTACCTTATTTCATTGCCCATATTATCAAAAGTTTGCTAACTGACTGCACAGAGTGGAAAGTTATTAACTCTGAATTATAGATTTAGATCACAATATCAAGACAGCCTATATGACCATGACGGCAAGTTTGCCTCAGCCGGCACACAGCCAGATTTTCCTATGACAGCATGTTCATGTCATTTGCCTCTAAAATAAAATTTTTCATGATGTGATGGTCTTGTCATCTGGATTGTAGGGCTTAAAATATAACAAGATGACTTTGGATAGTAAATTTATCTTTGTCAAGTTGTAGGAGTCATACTCCTACTCATCATCAATATAATCATTACCTTTATCAAGATCTTTGAATTAATGCACCTCTGCTGTAATGGCCTATTCACTTTCTTTTTTAACCCACTATACTGTCTAAAGCAATCTTTTGTGAATTTTGTTGCAAACCGATAGCCCGAGTAGCACACAAGTACTCAGGCAGAGTCTATGAATAAACCCAAAACGACCTGACCTGACCTGATTCCCTCATTTCTTGAATTTGTAGATTTTTTTTTTTTTTTTTTTTATTTTATCAATATCAATGCTTTCATAATTATCAGTACAATTATTAAATAATTATAAAAACATGAATAACAATAGAAAAAACAAACAAACACAAAATATAAGGAAAAGGACTATCAGTTTCTCTTGTGTTCACATTACAATGCATAGTTCTTTCCTACCTTTATAAACAAACAAAGACAAATGAATTCAAAATCAGAAGCACTATGAAATAAACACTTCTCAGACACCATTTACATGTGCATTATACACAGACACATGATTCTTCACAAATGCTCACCTGAACAGCCCTCTTGGTTCCAGCAGCATAACCACACACATCACACCGATGAACAGCATGGAGCAAGGAAACAGGTCCTCCTCGGCCATGAGCCAGTCGCACATGCTGAACAACAGTTTCACGCTCGCTGTCTCTGTTTTATCAGAAAGGGAGAAAGGGGATGAAGATTGGCTAGTTTATACTGGGAGAAAGAAAAGGTAATGGATTCTAATACTTCCTAATCATTATAAGAGAAATATGAAAGCAACAATGCCATTACACAATACTCAGGATTAAATACCAGGGCTACTTAGGCCTCAGAACAGTAATCTGATTTTGTTTAATAAAATCTATGGCTCCCTTACCCACCCACTAACAATCACTTCATCTTTCTCATTTAATCAATCTACTAACCTACTCTACTTGATCCTAATCAATTACAGCCATGTTAATACATATCCAGAGAAAAAGTGTGGATATGTATTATAAGCGCCAACTCTCTCCCTCGGTAATCCACTGGGTGTCACCAATCAAGGCAAGTGTGGACTTTCTACCACCTCTAGTTAACAAGCTGCAGTTTCCCTACCAAGACACACAATGAATCCAGCTCAACATTATATGTACTTCTAGTGGTACATCACTTTGTAATACTTGAATCTTGTTTACTGGGTTGGAATTAGCAGTTGGGTAATATGCAATGTATCTCTTGAACTTTGGTGGTTATATGTAATATGTAAGCAAACCGTGGGGCATATTACGAAGCTAGTGCTGGGCTCTCATTTTGATAACTTTTTTTTATCTTGACTGTTTCAGTGATTCAATTTCTTGATTTCTCTCCAGGTAATGTATATACATGATTTTTTTTATTTTTTTTTTATGAGGTTATGTATATACATATATTTTTTCTTTTCTTGTTTTACAATACAAAATTTTCAGTGATTTTTTTTTTTTTACCTTTACCTTTACCTTTCACCACTCAATGAGAACAAAACTTCCGTTCCACTCACCTTCCTTACCCATAAATCCTCTTTCCCTTAACCATAAACATTCCCATCCCTCTTTCTCTCCCCATTAACCCTAAACTTACTTTTACCCATCAGCTAAAAATCAAGCATCAATCCCTCATCCAAGAACCCTTCCATCCCTTTTACTTTCCAATTTCTTCATACTTTTTTTTATTCTTATTTCTTTCATCCCACGATTCCCCTCAATCCCCTGTCACTCCCTCATCCAAGGATCCTTTCATCCCTTTCACCTTCCAATGTCATTTTACCCCTTTCGATTTTCATTTCTTTCACGATTCACTCAATTCCACTCATGCTCACCTGAAGTCGCACGAGTTTGGCA